CCCCCCCCCCCAAGTCTGGACTAAGGGTCTTGTATATCCAAAGCACCGTATGTTTTCCATTATATATTCTGAACATTTATCACACTATTATAATTGCCCATTCATCTCTCATTACACTCTGAGATCAATGAATACCTCGCTATTTCTTTTCTGGGCCTAAGTTAGGATTGAATGTTTTCTTGAATGTTTCTAGCCCACCTGAGTCCCTGAGAACCTCAGTGTTGATCCTGGAGGGAGGCCTTTTATAGAAACTTCTTTGCTTCTCTCCTGTGCTGTTCCCACCAACCCGTTGCACATCTGCCACATCAGGATCTCTTCCCAGCTAGGAGGCTTCCCAACTGTGACATTCATCATTTCTCTCAGATGATACTTCACAAGATAAACTCAACAGGCACGCAGCACAAGTGGGTTCCTTGCCCACATTTCTATCTCTGTTAACAACACCATTTTCTTAATGACCAAGCTGAATTACTTAATAGTTTGGAGTTCTCCCTCACCCTCACTTACTAAGCCCAAACGCTGTCATTTTAGGAACAGAGCACTGACGGAACTTTGGATCAATACCAGATCGATAGATGTCATGGTTAGCTCACCCTCACATCCACCTTACACGTGAATCTCAAATTTATTTCCTCCCCTCTTCTCTACTGCCAGTGCTTCGGCTTAGCCCCGCTGTAGCTCTGTTTGAACTCTTGTCATCACATCTAACTGACCCACGACCCCCAGTTCTTTCTTCTTGTTATCATTTGTGGAGATCAGATTGAAGTGCTTTTCAAATTGTAAATATGCATGTATCAGTCATGACCTTTAACATGTTTGCAGGAATCTTTCTCGTAAAGCCATTTCTTACCTGTGAGATCTTCTCTTCTGGACCTCTGTAGTTCAGGGCTTCCTCCCATAGACTGGGGTGAGTGCCTTCTCTATTTGCACTCAGTGTATTGTAATGCATTGTTTATGAGTTTGCCCCTCTCCTGAACAGCTTGGGGGCAGGAATCATGTTTTCTTTATCTTTGCATGTGTCTCCCTCACTCCCCTACCGCAGACCAGCATATGCCAGGTACATAGGAGATTAAGTAAATGCATATCAACCATGTACCTATTAACCAAATACCCTGGGTGCTGCTGGAGTTGTCCTCTACTGGAGTTGCCCTTCCCTGCTGTCACCACCTGTTGAATCCTTCCTAGCTATCAAAATACCCTCTCATACTTTAATACTTTGCTACTTCAAGTACAGTCTTTGGATCAGTGGCATTGACCTCTCTCGGGAGCTGTTAGTTCCAGGTTAAGGCTTTGGAAAAGAGCTGATTGCACTTTTATTCCCGAACACAGGTGCTTGCAACTGGGCTCAGTGGTCTCTACTCTTCCCTGCCTACAAAGCTAGAAGAGAAAGGCGAGGAGTGGCACTGCCTTCTGAAAGATGACTGGCTCCTACTCCCTTCTCTCGTCCAGTTCATGAACTCCTTGGAATTTTGCAATGCTGTCATACAGGTACTGAGCACAATACAGGGACCCTTCGTTATGGTCCATTCAGAGTACAAGCATTGTAAAGGAGTAGTTTATAAACGTTCCCTTTTTAATTTGAATGTTTTTGGAATATTGATGCTTTACTTCAATGTCCTCGTGTGAGTAAAAATATTAGTTTATGGGTTTCTGGGAAGTTTTAATTGAGAAAAAATAAGTAGATTTTCTTTATCTTCCTTATAAAAAATGTTAATTCTGTTTTGATTATCCACTTAACCATCAAAAATAAGTTCAATGCCTGACTCATTAAATAGATATTTTTAGGCTTCTAAGTACTCCAAATTATACCACTTTTATTTCAAGGTCTTTTGGGGAGTCTATAAAGGAAAACACTTTATTGTGTTTAATGGTGCATACTACATAAAGAATATTGTTATCCCAATTGAATTTAGAAGAACTTAAGCATCTTCTTAGCAACACAAATGAAATTTGCTTTGAAATTGGCCTGCTTCGGGGGAAAAAAAGCCACTGAACTCTATATATTTGGCTTCTTGATTAGATTTTTACTTTCAGATTTCTTGTTACCGTTTTCAGTAAAAATCAGATTTTATATACATTTAAGGATGTAGTAGGTTTTCATAAAAAATGTTTTATTTCTGTACAGCATAAACATCACCTCAATATTGGATTTATTAAGAAATCAAATTTTCTTTATGGTGATTGTGAGGTGAAAAATGTTAGTATAATCTGTTTATCTACCAAATAAAGAAATAGCTTCTGGAAGGAAATGCAAGTAAATTACTTTGGTTCCCATCTCATTTTTATTGCTAAGTCAAAGGAAGTTTTATTTATATATAAGATAAGTGGATTACATTTTAAGTTATTTTTTTCTTTAATATTACAGTCTATCAACATTTTCCTGCATAAGTGTGCAGAAATAAAAGAGATGAAACTGTTAGTTTCTTCTCAGATGTACACACAGAGAGATTATTAGTAATTTAAAGATCTAGCCTCACTTCCCTAGAAATTGCTTTTTATTTTATTTGACTTTATAGTTTGTTGTTTTTTTAAGAAAGAGAAGTAAAGCTAACAGGCATTTTAAGAACAGAGAAGTGATATGTTTCATACTCTATTTTGAAATTGAGGCCATATACTTTTAAGATTTGTTCGTTTGTTTGGGGGGTCCTATTGAAAAGATTACTTGTAAAAGAGATTAACCAAAGAACTTACGTGCGTATATGCATCACCCATGGACACAGACAATAATTGCAGTAGGCCTAGGGGCAGACAGGTGCAGGTTGAAGTGGTCAGTGGGGGGAGAAAAGGGGACATCTGTAATACTTTCAACGGTACAGATTAGTAAAAGAAAGATATTAGGGTTACCCATGGAGAATATATTTTGTAAATAAAATATAGGAAGTCTTGTACCTCTGATAATGTTTTCTGCTTTTGAATAGGATCTATTTTTTATGAAAAGATTTTCTAAATGCCTTCCTCCTCAGTAAAATGAGTAGCAGAAAATGCACCTTCAAAATGAGAAATTATTTTCTGCCAGCAAAATAAATTTATTTAATTGCCCATTTTGACAATTGTATTCTTTTTTAAAAATCAGTCACAAGTTGAGATGCGACATAGATGAAAATATGGGGTAAAATTATACTTTCCTGTTTGTGAATTTTACGTTGTGACTCTTTATACATCTTCAGTCTATTTATTGTCTATTTTTTTGTTTTGTCAAATGGAAACTTAAAATTACCCATTGTTTCTGGTTTTATTTGTTTTTAATTTGAAAGTCCAAACTGTTTATACTGGAATAAACCATCTGAAAAAATTCAATGGTGGTTTGAAGTCTTAATTATTCTTTAACCATGAAGTAAATGGCCAAAATTTGGATTTCTATTTTGAATTCTGGATGTACACAGAAATGCTTGATTTTTAAGAAAGACCCCAAAATTGAATTCTTTGTAATTTTCATAACTACTTCTTTTTCTCTTAGGTGGCTCATCCCTTAATTCGTAATCAGCTTGTAAATTATATTTACAATGGGTTCTTGGTACCAGTCTTGGCTCCTGCTCTCCATAAGGTCAGTGATTGACTGATGTAATCTTTTATCTGTTTGTGGTACAACTGATGGAAACTGAGGAGGGCGAACATGCTGTAATTGATTTGATGGTGACGTTAGCCTCATTTCTCGCTTCACCCATACTCCTTAGGCATATTGAACTCAGCTCTAACTGTCGCAACAGCTTAAGTCTGATGGGATCCATTTGGTGTCATAGAATACAGCATTTCGAATGTCAAGTAAGATAGTCTAAAGCAGAATTGGCAAACAGACTGACTCTTGTGCCTACTTAGTTCATGGGTGGTGGCTGCTTGGAGCTCCCTGTTAAGCTGAGGGCCAAGTCTGTCACGGGGTGTAGGTTTACTGTGGATGTGGAGAGGAGCACTGGTAGCAAAAGTCCCATGGATTTGCCATCTCTTAGAAAATAATTTTTTATTATAAAAATTTTGTGACAGCAAAACATTAAAAGTGAAGCCAAATTAAGGACCCATCAAAGGCTGGCTGTCTCACTAGCACCAGTCTGAATTCCCTGTGACACTCTCATTTTGTGCAATAAGTCAATTGATAGCTTTTTCATTGTGAGCTGTCAGGAGATACCCATGGACTTAGAATTCTAAGTAGTTCTTTCTTCACATATAGACATATACAGTATTTAGTTCAAGAGGATCTTTGTCAAGTTACTGGAATTGCCAGCCTTGGTCAGGAGAGAAGCAAGGAACTACTTATCACATGCTTCGTGATGGAATGCCCACCTTTCTACAGCTGGAAGTTCCGTTTCCATGGGCTCTCATTTTACAGAATCCAGGATTACCTAATTATGGCAATGTTGAAGCCTGGCTGTAATGCTGATGGGAATTCTAGTTTAGAGCAGCAGGTCTTCCCTCCTCCACCACAATTTCCAAAGTATTTAGATGTTACCTTCTAGGCAATTGCATACCACAGATACGGTGGTTAGTATTACAACTACAGCAAGCCTTTTTGCATGCTTGTCTGGTAGAGCAGCGGGTCTTGGTGGAAGATGTTCACATCTTGCCACTTAGTACCTTTGAGCACAATGACAGTGTTTTCCAAACAAACAGGGTACTTGCTCTGATGAGAATTTTTGTGTTACTTCTAGGCTTAAGAGGTCATCTTGGATGTGGTTTGAACATCAAAATATTGAGGTTTCCAGGTTATTTTAGTAGTTTGTGGGCACAAAGGGACCAAGTCTTTGCAATTAAAAATGTCTTATAAAATATGGAACATATCTTCAGAAAATACACACCTCGTATTTCCTTCCAGGTCGTCTTTTTGTTAGTGTCTTGCTGTTCTGGGTGTGGGTGTTCTGGGAAGTGAAGGTTGCTCATCCTCTGCAGGGGGAATTTTCCTCTGTAGAGGAATACGACAGTGCTGGTGAAGTCCTTTGGCAGTAATTATCCACACATTCTCCCACACACTTAGACTTTCTTCCACATTTGTTCCCATCCTTTCCCTCATTGACTGGTTAATATAAAATAATTTCCCAAGTCATTGTCATAATAGCTGTAATTATAAAATTATTTGTTCAGTATATTTTATGGTATTATAATTAGCCTACCTTAATGTTACAAATATTAATGATAACTCTTTATCCATAATTGAGGATGAGATCACCTCAGAGAGCTGCCATGAGGATCTGGCGGTCACTGTGCTTCTCCTTTATAGCACTCACCACAAGTGGAATTGGATCATTAAATGTGCAGTAACTTGCTTAATGTCCATCTCCACAATGGTCTGCCTGCTTCTTGGGAGTAGGGTTCACACTTGTTTTGTCACTGGAGTGTCTCCAGGGCCAAGCACAGCACCATAGATTTAGAGGTTGAATAAACAGCACACAAATGAATGATGTTTGTCAGAGTGCCAAGCCGAGTGTTCGCTCTGGTACATTCCCAGACGGTGGGTCATAGAGAACAGTAAGAGTAGCACTTTACATATATTAACTAAGATTGTTCTCAGTAATGCCCACAAATAAGATGAAGTTTTTTAAATCATGAAGGTATTTTCATACATGCTTATTGTGAAGAAAAAAAAGGCAATACTAAGTATATAAAATGCAAAGTGAACGCTACCATATTAGGCTTTCAATCCCTAATTAAGATCCCTTAACTTTCATCTATTGCAGGCCATTTTTCCCAGGACTATTGAGCGACTAAAGAGAATATTCCTTCCTTAATTAATTTTTCTTCCTGCTCTTCATTTTTTAAAATTTTGTTTGTGTTTTTATCGTTTAGAATTAAAGGCTTAGGAAAGAAGTGTGCCTGGGGGTGGGAGTGGGGAGGTAACAGCCTCTACTCTGGCTCTTGGCTTCCTAAGTGTTTGATGAAGAAAGGGCCTTTTATGAATGGCAGGACAGGCACTCAGAAGCAGATGAGCAAAGAAGTCAGAATTGGGTGTTTCTTGAGGAGTTCCCAGTGATGTGGAAGGGATACCTGCGAGTCTTGAGTCTACTTCAGGGGCTCCTGTCCATAGATTTCACATTCTGGGTCACTTGCCTTGACAGAAGAGCCTTATTTAATACCCTAAGTAAATTTCCTTGTGCATTATCTCAGCCCCCAGTTTATGCAACACATTCTTGTTACCTACCATCAGTGTAGGCAGTTTTCAGAGGTGAATTTATGAGACAGTCTCTCTGTCTCAGAAGTAATAAAAATAAATTCATACTTAAAAACTTTACCACATCACAATCAATACTCATAAACAGTATCTCCATAGCATTTCTTAATGAGAGCTGAAGCCATTGCAAAGGGTTGTGGGTAGGAAGAGGAGGGGAGTGGGGGGGTGCTTGACAGGTGAAGATTGTCTCCACCTTTCCTCTTCCCACTCTGTGTGTGTTTAAGGCAATACCTCCTGTGCAAGCTGTTCTGCTGTGTGCTTTCTTCATCCAGGGCTGTGGGGCGGCCATGTATCCTCTGGTGTTGGTACAAAGGCGTATCTGGGTTTGTTTGTTTTTTATAGGCTGCATAGTTTTCTGTCGTGTGGATGTACAGGCCCACAATCCCTTATTCACAACTCAGAGATGCAAACATCTGTGAAAACTGAATTTTTTAAATAATTGATGTGGCAGCACAACCTTTTGCCATACTCTTTGGTGGCAAACCCATAACTGAATTGTCTCAAGGCTGTTTTTAATTTCACTTGTGTTTATATTTGTATGTTTTTTGGAAGAAATATTAATGTATTTGATTGTAGCGTTCTGCTCCAGATCTGCTGGGTTATGTCAAATATGGTAGATGTAATAGTACTTTTCTAAAATATGAAGTTTTGAGTTCCAAAATGCATGGTCTCCAGGGTTTGGGAAGAGATCGGAAACCTATTTTCTACACTTAGGGAAGGATACATTTTTGGAGATAGGTTAAAATCACACTTTGTAAAAGTCACATTAGAGAAAACGATACCATATTTATAGAGGCCATTTAGGAATTAGATCTAGACATAGCCATGGACATCACGTTGTACAAAAATAATTATGATTTTAGATTAATGGGACAGCCCTCATCCGGCAAGAGCTAGTTCTTTTGTCTCTCTCTGTATGTTTAATTTATCAAAGCTAAACTTTCAAGGCTGAATATTCATTGTTATGGTTGTATTAGTCTGGGTTCTCAGTGGAGTGGGTGCCAAGCTGGGATTAAATGTGCACAGATTTTGCTAGGGGAAATGCTGGTGAGAGACAAAACAGGGAGCAAGATGGGGAAGGCCGGGGGAGTTGTCAGACTGCAATGCAAATCTGACCCCAGTGAAGAGGAGGGTATAGGGTTGACTGGGAGTGTCCTGGATGGCTGTGAGAGGCCTGTGACTCCCAGGAACAGGTCTGCCAAGCATCCCTGCTGCGTTGTCATTGGCTGTGAGCAGCCTGTGGGAGGTGTGGGAGGATTTCAGTGTAGCTACAGGGGCCCCTGTCACGTATGCTCCCTGTAGCTGGAGGTCTAGGAGGTGCATTCCCGTGGCCACTGCATTTCCACGTGGTTGATTTCCATGGTTTTCCTGATTGGAGCTGTCAGAAAGATAGACATATATTTGCTTAATTTACAGACCTCCTTTTTTTGTGCAGAACATTCAGGAGTTCAAATGATCCTCTCATGCATGGGGTCGTTTTGGTCAAGATTAGCTTGAGAAAGGAACTTACTGTATCAGTCACTATAGTTATGCTACAGTCACAAACAGCACCAACATCTCAGGGACTGAAACAACAAATGCTTATGTTTTTGTCCGCACGGCTTGTCCATCTTGGGGTGTGGAATGAGCAGCTTGTAGGTCTTCTCTCCAAGATAGCCTCACTCAGGGACCCAGGTCGATAGGTCCTTCACCATCTGATATCACTGGTCATAATGTCAGAGAGGAGAGATCATATTGAATGGCCCACTGGCTTTTGAAGCTCTTGTTTGGAAGTGACACATGTCATTTCTGTTCACATTTCATTGTCTAAAGCAAAACAAATCACCTGGCCACATCTGATCTCCGATGGCAGTGCAATTTCATTTTCCCAGAAGAAAAGAAGCCTAGAACGTGATCATCAGTCCTAATGACTGTCATAGGTATTTCATAAGTCAGGGCCCGAAAAAGAACAGATGGCACTCAGATTGGGTGGTGAGGGGACTCTTTACAAGAGTATGATGTTTCAGTGACCCATTGCTGTGTGATAAAGCTGTCCCCAGACTTAAAGACTTAATCATTTATCATTAGTATAAAGCACACTTCTCTGGTTCAGGAATTAGGGCAGGGCACGGAGGGGGCCGCTTATTTCTGTTCTTTGAGGTCTAGGGCCTGAGCTGGGTGAGTACAATGGCTGGGGCCCAAATAGCTTGGGCTGGACGGATCTGTCTCTCCGCCTCTTTCCCTTTCCACAAAGCCTCTCCACAGGGCTAGCTTGGGTTTTCTCACAGCATGGCAGCCTCAGGTGGTTGGATTTCCTAATGTGGGTTGAGGGCTCCAAGAGACAGGAAATAAAAGCTGCCAGCCTGGAAACTGAAACAGTGTTACTTGTGTCATATTTTATTGTTCTCAGT